CTAATTTTATTCTTACACCATATGAAATATGTTTAAATTATATTCAAATAATTTTTCGCATCAATTTTTTTTACGAATTTTTGTGTTATATTTTTTATATTACTACACTGCACTTCATTCAAGAATTTTAATCAAAATAAATGTAATTATATTTAATGCTAATAAATAATAATATGTAATTATTATTTATGTAGCATTAAATATAAATAATTTAATTTATTTATATTTAATGCTACTCTGTCTTTGACAACTTAAGTGCACTTAATGAATTTTAAATTTCTGAAGAAAAGAAAATTATGCAGGCACCGAATGGTAATAAAAATGCTAAAAGAATTTATTAAGTAGCTAAATTAATTATTCGGACTAATCTTAAAGAGAAAAGGATTTTTTTTAATGTTATACGATATTAGAGAGAAACATTTTTAAGGTTCTAATAATAGCTCAGAATATACATTAGCTAAGACATTTCGAAAAATCAATTCGAAAAATATATGTGAGAAAAATGATTTCATACATATTGTCTGTACATTTCTCTGCTTAAAAAGGATAATAAAATAAAAAGACCGAATAATAATAAACGTATTTTTTATTTATAATAACTTAAAGAATTTATATTAATCAAACTTAATTGTTAAAATGAAGTCATTTTTAAGGAAAATAATTCCTTTAAAAGAACTAAAAGAATAGTTATATTCCGGTTTCCTTTAGATGCCATATTTTGTAAATTAGAAAAAAAATATTTTTGAAAGAACACAATACTTCCCAGTATTTTTTCCCTAGTTTCATGTTATATGATAAAGATAAATATTTATTTTTATCGAATTTAAGAAAAAAAACCAAAGGTGAAGAGATTTTGAAGAGAAATATTATCCATAAGTGCCTCTAAATAAACAAGAAAACTAAACGGCTGAGAATCGAATAATAGTAAGCATGTTTTAATTATAATAATAGTCAATTGTAAAAAATTATTATTCGAATTTAAGATCAGGAAGTATTTTTAAGTCTTCTAACGTATTTATTTATATTTTTTAAAGAAAAATCGCTTTGTTAATTTTGACTTTACTTTTGATTTATAATAACTTTACCATGACCCTTTGATTTCATAAAATTTTAAAAAATGTATACAAAAATTTGATTTCATGAGTAAAATAAAAATAATAAAAAAGAACAATAAAATGCTAAATTTGAATGCTCTGAAAACTAATAAGCAATTGTTTAGCTTTATTAACAAACCAGGCATTAACTAAAGATACTTAAGTTTAAAAAAAAGAAACAGGATAATAAAATGCTGAGTCTGAATAATTATAAGCATATTATATTAAAAAAACAACGTATTGGATAAACACATTAAAGTTTATAAAAACGAAATGAATAATAATGAAATGCTGAGACTGAATGATTATAAGCATACTTTCTAAGTATGTTAAAAAACAACGTATTAAATAAACACACTAAAATTTATTAAAAATAAATAAAAAAGGAATAATATAATGCTGAGTCTGAACAATTATAAGCATGATTTTTAACTATATTAAGAAAAAGCTTATTAAATAAACATACCGAAGTTTATAAGAAAGAAATGAAAAAGAGAGAATAAAATGCTGAGTTTAATAATTATAAGCATATTTTATAACTATATATACAAACAATGTATTAACTAAACACACTGAAACTTATAAAGGAATAAAAAGAATTATAAATTGCTAATGAGCCTGAATGAAATGAAAATATATAAATGTCACATAAAATAAACAATAAGTATGAATAATAATAAGCCTATTTTTAACTAAACACTCAGAAGTTTATAACAAAGAAATAAAAAATAACTATAAAATGCTGAGTCTGAAGAATTATAAGCATATTTAACAACTATATTAACAAACAATGTGTTAACAAACAGTATATTAGCACACTGAAGCTTATTAAAAAGTAATAAAAAAGATAATTAAAATGTTGAGTTGGAATAATAATGATCATATTTTTAAGTAAACACATTGAATTTAACAAAAAATAAACGAAAAAGAACATTAAAACGTTAAATCTAAATAATTATAAGCATATTTTTATAAACATATTAACAAACAATGCATTAACAAACTGAAGCATATAAGCATATTTTAAACTAAACACACTGAAGTTTACAAAAAAGAGTAATGGTATTCCCTATTTTCTTAGATATCATATTTTAAGGATTTAAGAAAAGTATTTTTTAAAAAGATAATATTCGCTTGAACATTGACTTTCCCTATAGTTTTATATACATTTGGAAATTTTAAAAAATTTACATTTTAACTTTACAGTTAACTTATGATAATATAACCATAAAAGTTTTATCTTTTCTAATGTGGCAAAATTATAATGGTATAATTTGAATATTATCCTTCTTTTATGAATTTAAATGTGAGGTAGATGCACTAACATTTTTTATAAAATGCTATGTTTCAAAACCCTTTCCAAAAATTCAAAACGGTGTTATACTGAAAACTATATTAGTTTTTTGAAATACGAATACATAAATATGTTTGATACTATAGATACAGTGAGTGCAGAATAAACATCAAATTTGAAGAGTGTTTATAAGAAGAAGAAAAAGAGTGTTTGAAGAAAATTTATTATAAACAAACTCATCTTTCGGAGAAAAAGTTTTTAGATGTTTTAATATTTTTGGTTTTTAGGAATAGCTTCATATTCTTGTAGACCAAAATGTATTAAGCGTTAGTGGATGATAATAAACAAAGCACGTTAAAGCCTATTATACATGAAGTAAAGTCTGAAAAAGTTGTACTCCCCAGCAAAATTAAAGCAAAAGTTTATATATTTTGATCTTTTTTTGTGGATAATTCTCAAAACAATTTTTATCGAAAATAATTATAGAATATCATAAGCTCCGCATTTGATTTCGATATCCGACTAAACCTTAAGTTCTAAAAAGTTTTGTTCTTGTAAATCTATTAAAAGGGAAATAACTTTCGAAATAATAAAAAAGGTTTCAAATAATATATTAAAATTGACTATTAAAAATAAATATTTTAATGCGCAAAACTCCTGGCACGAAACGAGTTTCCTTTTAAAAGTTCATTTTTCTTCTTACGTGTTAAAATAATCGCAAATTAACAATAGATAAAAGATTAACGCAACAAATTCAAACACAAAATTGGGGGGGGGGAATAAAACTGAAATAACAAGCAATACAGATAAAAAAGATCTTAAATAATTTCATTTTTCTCATTGTGTATTTCTCATTTTGTTGACTTTAAAATCATCAAAAAAAGATTAACTGTACACAGTTTAAGTAGTCCCCAAAACATTGCAATCATAACCAACGCACCACAATACCACGAATAAGAAGTATCTCGAAGAAAAATGCACTTTAGTAATTACTCACTTTTTCGTTTTTTTCTCAACTACTATTGACTTAACAGTATTCAGGTTAATTAAAACGTTTCAAAAACACTACCCACCAAATTAAATACAAGCTTTCCAATAGCTTAATGAATGCTAATCGGGTAGCTCCATCACATCCCTATGTAGTTTTTGTTGGTGTTGCACACAAAAATTACACAACAAATTACACAAAAAAAATTACGCAACACACGCTTTCAAATAACTTTCAAAATACTAGGTAACTTCCTCCCATCCCATACCCACATGGATTTTACTTGTGCTTCATATCTAAATAAGCATGCGCTTTCAAATAGCTTTCAAAATACTAATCCGGTAACTTCGTTACCATCCCCATGTTGATTTTACTTGTGCTGCCCAACAATATGAACACACGCTTTCAAATAGTTTACGAAATACTAATCCGGTTAAATTTGTTCCGTTGCTATGGGGATTTCGCTTCAGCTACACTTCAAAATTACACATTAAAATAAACACACGCTTTCAAAATACTAATCCGGTAACTTGCTCTCATCCCTCTGTGGAATTTACTTGTGCTTTTGCTTTTGAATTTACTTGTTACTTGTTGCTCACAGCAAAATAAACACATGCTTTCAAATAGTTTTCAAAATACTAATCCGGTAACTTTGTTCCATTACCATGAGGATTTTACTTGAGCTACACATCATAACTACGCATCAAAACAAACACACTTTTTTCAAAATTCTAATCCGGTAATTTCTTCCTTCCTTAGGCGGATTTTACTTGGGCTATACAACCTTTCAAAGTACCAATCAATATATTAATCCGGTAACTTTGTAGCTAGCTTTCAAAATACTAATCCGGTAACTTTGTCCCATCCCATGGGGAATTTACTTGAGCCACATATTAAAACTTCACATCAAAATGAACAAACGCTTTCAAAATACTAATTCGGTAACTTCATCCCCTCCCTAATAGGATTTTGCTTGTGCTACACAACAAAATAAACACATGCTTTCAAATAGCTTTCAAAGTACTAATCCGGTAACTTTCTTCCATTTCCATGGGGAATTTACTTGAACTACGCATCAAAACTACAGATTAAAAATAGACACACGCTTTCAAAATTCTAATCCGGTAACTTCTTCCCCTCCTTATGCGGATTTTACTTGTGCTACACAAAAAATAAACACACTGCTTTAAAAATACTAATCAAAATATTAATCCAATAACTTTGTAGCTAGCTTTCAAAATAATCCGGTAGCTTTCAAAATACTAATCCAGTAACTTTGTCCCATCCCCCTGGGGATTTTACTTGAGCTACACATTAAAACTACGCATAAAAATAAGCAGACGCTTTCAAAATACTAATCCGGTAACTTTGTCTCATCCCCCTGGGGATTTTACTTGAGCTACATATTAAAGCTACAAATAAAAATAAACGCACGTTCTCAAAATACTAATCCGGTAACTTTGTCCCATTCATAATAGGATTTTACTTTGCTACACAACAAATTAAACACACGCTTTCCACATAACTTCCCTTATAGCATTTAAATGTTTCTCTTCAAAAAGTTCTTNAAAAAAAACAAAAAAAAAAAAAAAAAGAAGGAAAGAAGAAGAAAAAATTTTCTTACCGTGACAGAAGATCAGAAGAAAACAAAGTTTCATCAACTTTGACATTTTAGATAAAGGATTTGTTTCCCACTATGGAAACATCTGAAACAAAAAATAATAAATTTTAGTAACATTTCAGGAGTTTAAAAGAATATTTAAACATTTAACATTCATGTGCTGTATAATCACCTACTAGAATTGGAAAGCCAGCACACGGGATTGACAGCTTCCGATTTTGAAGTTTGAACAACGAACAATTAACCTTTCAAAGAAACGATGTAGACGAATTTCTTTTAATTGCCATCTTGTGTTCTACCGACATATGTTTTCCTAATACAAAATTGTTTGTAAAAAAATCCAAGGATGCCTTTTAAATGCTCTGCTTTTAATTTATGTGGCAATTACGATAAAGCTCCAAAAGTATCCGCATTCAAATTTCAAAGAATGAAAATTTAGCGAAGATATGTGAGCATCGAATTTAACGAGAAGATTTTGCACTGATTGGAAATTCAAGAGTAAGTCTTGGATTTCATATAAATTTATTCACTATTACATTTTATTAATGATTTACCAACATATAAATTTAGAGTGAATGTAGCTAATGCTAATTTGATGAAGTAGTTTAAGGTAAATTCAAAAATAGTTTTATGGTAATAATTCAGTTATGTAGTTTAAAAAAATGAGATTTTAACTATAGTTTTGCACCTACGTATTTACGCCTGGTGTCTGCAAAATTAAATATTTAAAATTGTTCAAGGAATGAAATTTGTATTATTTATGTATTTACAAGCTAGATAGGGAAAGTTTTATCAGAAAAATGGAGTCCTCAAATCTGTTAAAAATTCGTTAAAGTACTTATAAAAAAAAAACTCGTATGACAGTTTTTTAGAATATTTTTATGAGTGTCTTATTTGTTCCTATCTGTAGTTTTCGCTGATTTATTTAATGCTACAAAACCAGTATTTTAAACGTCAAACAAAAATTGCAAAAAATATTTTTTTTAAATTACTAAAATCGTGTTTTTTTGTATTATTTAAGTCTTTTTTATTTTACATTCAGAGGAATACAAACAAAAACCACAATGTTTTACCTTTTTTAAAAAAAATATTAATTGCAACGAGGATTTTTGCCTTATTGTAAGTTAACAGAAGGTTTGAAGTAGAAAGTACTAATAGCTGATTTAAAGTAATTTTTTTTTATGAAAGAATTAAAAGTGTAAATTTAGATTTGAGAATTTAGTTATAAAATAGAAAATGTTAACTACCTATTTGAAACGAATATTTAAAACTAAATTTTTTCGGAATGGTATTTAGAGTAAATTATTTTAAAGATTTAATGATTTATAATAGCAGACATTATGTATCTTACACGATAAAATTTAATAAAATATATCCTTTAAACATTGCATTTTTATGACCTAAAGGCTCTCTTATCACCTATCCGTTATTAATTACATTTTTTCTTATAAATTTATGAACTCCACTTTAGAAAAGAAGACATAATCAGAGAAAATGTGTTTTTTCATGAAAAAACTGGACAGCTTTCATAAATTTTCCTAAAAATTTCCAAAAGTGAAACCTGATGCTGAACCTGACGTACCGTAGTATTCATACTGTCGAGTACAGAATGTGTCTAGAAATTAAAATAGATGCGTATGGAATCAGCACTGTTTAAAAAAGCAGTAATTAGCAGTAAAACTAAATACTCCTATGATGAGAGATGCACTTTTCAAATTGAAAAGAACTTTGTGCCCCAGAAGAGAAAAACTACCTCTATTTTAGACCTTAGACAAAAAAAGAAAATGTGCTCATTATGTATTTAATTTTATAACCATCATTGAAAAGCCGATCAAATTAGGTGTTTACGACTACCGATGTTCAACTACATAGTTTTGTAATTTTGAACCCAATCCAGAACACAAGGGAACTCCTGGATAAAGCATTGGGAGAAATTTTGCCATCGTGCAGGACTTTTTGATGGAACTAATCCACATTTTCATTACATGGAGGGAAAAACCACGAAAACCTCACACGGTTAGCTTGACGGCAAGGGGACTCTTACCCATGATCTGTCTACCACTGAGGATATTTTACGTCAGCCTTGTGGTCGGTGCGATCCGGGTGCGGAATTCGTATCGACAAGTCATCGCTGGCATTCGATCACCTCACTGGAGGGAGAGTTCTCCATTCCCTGAGCAACCACGACTCTCTCATTATATAGAACATTTCTGAAAAATCAGACTCAACGTTTTGTGTTTGTAAATTCAAACTTCAAGTGCACCGCATACTTTAAAACACTGCCCATTACAAAAGCTTTCCAGATTGTATAACAGATCTTAATAACTTGATAAATCTCTAAAATGAAATGGAGCTATTTGCAAATAGTAATAATATAACTGAGAATGATGATGAGAGAACAGTAAAAAAATATATATTTCATTTTAACTAAAATACCTATTTGAACGTATAAAATTATTTTTATTTACGGGAATGGTTGCAAGAACTATTTACGGGTACTGAACTTTTCTCTCTCTCAGAAGAGAGTCGAATTTTGTAGAAATTTCTTAGAGTGTATCATTAATGATTTATTCATTAACTGGAACCATTTCGTTTTTGTTACATACAATCTCATGTATCATTACAGTATAATTTTAGGTGTGAAGAAAATAAGGTATAATTGTTATAAAGAAAAAAATTGAGGGGTGTCAATAGTTATTGATCTAACTCAAATAAGTAAATCTCTAATATAACTCAAGTAAGTAAAATAAAATAAGTAAAATATAATAAGTAATAATTAAATCAGTCATACTTTTGACAAAAACAGAAGAAAATTCTTTTAAAAAATCAAGAAATTTAACTTTTGTACGATATTACAAAATCTGTGCGTGATGGAAATTTTTTCCACAATCTTGCAAGATTCGTAAAATTTAATTTTTTGTTTGATAACTTTTAAGCTTAGATAAACATTCTCTCCTTCTTTATTTTATTTTTTTAAAGATAGAAAAAAGAAAAAATCAAGTATAATGATTTGCACTCTTGATTTGGGGTTTAAAATTTATGTTCAAAAACTTTAAATCATTCACAAAAAAATCACAGAAAATAAATTTTACATAAAATATAAGCGATAGGAAACTTTTTACCATTTAAAATTGCAAAACATAACGTTTTAAAACATTAGTTTTCAAATGATTTGCTAGCAAAATTTTAACGGTTAATTCATTTTCAATCATATACTCAAATAAATTTAACAGGCATTGAGTTCATACTAAATTTTAATCTTACTTTATCACCAACGTTGAACGATGGACCCGAATTGCCTTTGTTCCATATATCAGCTATCAATATTCACCTCCATAGTCTTGTAATTTCGAAACAAACCCAAAAGAAAGAAAAGGCATAACTTTTGTATCAAGTATTGGGACGAGCTGGCTATCATTTAGAATTTTTTTTATCGAAAACTTAGAAAGAAAAGAAAAACAACAAAAACCTCTTATGTTTAACCCGATGCCAAGGAAATTATAACCCATGACCCGACACCCACTGGGGACAGTTAACATCTGCACTGTGATCAATGAGAGTTTCGTACGAAACGACGACCATCCATCACAGGGCAATATGGAAAACATTGCATGCCATCCACCTTTACGTCTCCAAAAACCTGATAACAATTTATCAAAAGCAGGTAGTCCTTATGCCAACACAGGTGTCAATATCCCGATCCTTCATAACTTCATCTGAATGTCTTACCCTCAGAACTACTGATATATGTTTTTATATTTCCTTTGTTTATTCGTATAAAGATAATGTACTCTAGCATTTTGTAGTAAACGGCTAGAAAGAGATGGAGATTGAGGCTCGTCAATTTCAAGAACAAAAGCATAGTTTAGGGCAATATGGAAAACATTGCATGTCATCCACCTTTACGTCTCTAAAAACCTGATAACAATTTATCAAAATCAGGTAGTCCTTATGCCAACACATGTGTCAATATCCCGATCCTTCATAACATCATCTCAATGTCTTAACCTCAGAACTACTGATATATGTTTTTATATTTCCTTTGTTTATTCGTATAAAGATAATGTACTCCAGCATTTTGTAGTAAACGGCTGGAAAGAGATGGAGATTAGGGCTCGTCAATTTCAAGAAAAACGGCATGGTTGAGGCAATACGGAAAACATTGCATGCCATCCACCTTCACTTCTCTGAAAGCCTAGTAACCATTTTTCAAATGCTAGGTGGGCATCACTCCGCCCCCGGGATTGAAACCTAGGATATTTCAAATATGATCATAATTCAAATCGCAGCAAGCTAATAAGCCTTTATTATTTTTGTCAAAAACTCTTTAAAAAAATTAATTAAGAGCATTCATTTGAAAAATTACTCTTTAATTATTTATATTTAAAAACTAGTCAAATAATATTGTTTAGCTAACTATAATGTGGTCAATTAAAATGTAATAAACGTTGCAAAAATATTAATATTTGTACATTAATACTCCATCACCAATTGCAGCAATTATTACAATTATTATCATTGTATCCATTGAAGGAATAAGCTCTTAAGAATATTAAATAAAAAGCTTTCTCCGATAATGAGGATAAAAAACATGTATGTGTACTCAAAAATGCAGTAGAAAATCTATTTAGAATTATAAAAAAAATAAAACGCTTAGAAAAATGTATGAGATAAATCTTATGATTGTTAATCAGTTCTAATAGATTCATCATATCCATTCATTTTCTTTTTCAAAGGAATTCACGGTTCAATGTTACATAAATTGAATTTGTGAGCTTATTAACACGAAATGACATTTATGAAACTAATTAATTTTAAGAATGCAGAATTAATTCTAAGAATGCTAGAATTTAAAATTATTTAAAAAGATGTTAAAACTATGTGAAAATTAGCCATTCAGTTCTCTTAATAGTTGCAATTACAGTTTTAATTTTCAATTAGAAACGTAAAAACTGGAATAATGTTTCAATTTAACGATGTTATATATATATAAATTTGATAAAAAACAATGGATACCCAACTAAAGAAATAAAATTTTATATAAAATCGTAGAATTAATCGTACATATTTGTGGATATATTTACTAAACATTTTC